TTATTGTCCAATAAAACATTATCACTGAACACTAGTCAGTTCATGGATAAGTGGAGATGTGGTCTCTCAAAACTCACGCAAGCTAATAAAGAAGTGTGCGCAAGTTTCACAAAGTCTGCACCATGACGGAGGAGCTGCCACAACTTGTCATCCTCCCATTGTGAGTACAGTGCCATTTACAATGAAAGCAATGTCTTCCTCTTTCCTAGACGGATAATAGCAGCCATTCATCAGAACCTCGCAAATGACGTGTTTCATCGATTTCCATCAGTCTGGGAGAACAGAGCCACAGAGATGGAGGCTCAGAGACATAAGAGCTGTCAGATCAGAGCAGAGTTGGGCAGTGAAAGCCCCACAGAGGGGAAAACAAAGTTTAAAAAAAAATCAGAATAGAAGGAAACAGATTATCAACTCCCATCTATGAACAATGCACTTAACGCTCCATGTTTGGGCTGCTAATGACATGCACAGACTGGGAGGGGGTGGGGAGGTGTTCCTCCAACACAACCTGCCACATCTCACAGCCACTGCATAACAGAGATTTACTCTTCTAATGAAATCCTTTGCTTGCCAGTTGCTTAGCAACAAAAGTACTGATTCATATGGCACATACGGTATGCGCCTGACACTGCATTTCTGACACTTTGGAGGAAGGTTGCTTCTTGGATGAGGAAGAGAGGGTGAGAAGAAAACAGGGCAGGAGTTATGAAATGAATGCCAGGAGAGCAAAAGGCAGAGAGGGAGAGATTGGAAGTGAAAGGATGACCCGTCTCTGGCTGACTCCCACAGAGTAGCACAACAGGTTGGTGGAGCTCAGCAGCTCCACAAAAACACACAAAAAGACCTGACTGCTCTCTTATATGCGCACATAAACAGTGTTCAGCTGTGGACCCTGAAACAAAAAACCTCGGCATGATCCGTTTTCAGGAAAGCATTTCTGTTCCAATTTTCTACATCTATAAATAAATCTTGGCCAAAAACCAAACCAAACAAACGGATCCTCTTAAATATTAGTCGGAAAAATGTGTCGGTCTTTCAGGTTTATTCATTTATGAAGCAAAAACCTGAAATATTTGTAAGTTGTCCCTTTGTATCATGACAACTAATACAGCTGAATTCTTGGTAGTTAATATTTGGGTGCTGGGAAGATGTATTTTCTGTATTTTAAAGAAAGAAGATACATCGACATATTAAATAACCCATGACTCTAATTGTTATGTGCAGCCTTAATTGTAAGCAGCTTCAACCCAACCATGGAAATGATACAGACGTCTCCCTTCAAAAGGTCAGCACCACCCTACATGCAGCCTTTAGCGATTCTCTTCCACCCTGACTGCCTGTCTGAGAAATGAATGCACATGCATTAAGACAAACTGCTCCATCTCTTGCACTTTTATCAGCTAGTCCATCTTTGTCCTTAAGCATATGCGTAATGGCGGAAACTCTAAAATGAGACTTTATGGAAAAACACAACAGAAAGATTTTTTATTTTTCTAACACACAACTGCAGACGGCCTGGCGCAGATGATGTCATTACTGTGAGGCCGAAAATGTAGTAGCAGTTGAATTAAATACTACTGCTGCTGCTGTCTCTGGAGATTACACAAAGACACGCATGAACATATCTGACCCATGTAGCAGCCCCTGATAGCTCCACGTGTCCTCAACAGGTTAGAGTATTCCAGACTTTATGAAATACACTTGACAAACTGGACGGCATGTTCAGCTGAACAGTTTCAGAAAGAAAATGATGCCGACTTCAGATTATGTTGACAAGAACTCAAAAGGGGGGAACCTAAGCTAAGTTGCTGTTTACAGAAGATTAAAAATCCCTTGTCCTCAATAAAATGCAGCTGGATGGATTTTTGTTTGTAAAAATAAGATTCAGCAGCACATTTTGCCTCTGCTACTCTGTTTGTTCTGTAAATTATCCAGTGAGAAATTCTTCAACAGAATGTAGCTCCAATCCAAAATGTCCTGCGCTTGAGGCCGGTGGATTATCCACATTAAGCGGGACATGATATCTGGAAACACCAGGTTTTAGTTTTGCCCCCCCCTATTTTTAGCAGCACAATTTAACTTCCACTAACCTTCAATGTATGACCACAAGCATTGGTTGTACATTGTACAAATGTCAAACTATCTTCATAATATTCCCTCAAATTATTTTCTAATTGTGTGGGAATTAAGCTCCTCAACATGTTAAATTCATATGATAGTTAAGCTTTTTACAATACTTGTAGGTTACTTGTGCGCTGGATCACCTTCAAATCAACTAAGAACAAACTGAATGCGGTGCACCAACAAGTGTCAGCTGTAGCTCCAACTGCAAACCTGCTGTTAACGAGGACCAACTTTCCTCGTTAACAGCCTACAGTCCAAGATCAAAGAGGTTTTATTATAACAGGTTCGCATTGTATGTGACATTAAGCCAAGAATAGCAGAGTTCATTATTCAGAGTCATGCACTTTGATTGGACCTACTACAGATTTAATTACAAGCCCAAATCAAACTGGCTGCTACACAAAAACCCCTCTATGATGATTTCATGGAGGAGTGCTGCGTTATGAAATGAGCTGGCGTACCTTCTTTTTGGCGTTACAGTGGCAGCATACGGTCCACAGGTATTTGAGAGTTCTCCACAGCAGGATTATGAAGAGACCCCCAAAGAAAGTGACCATGGAAGAGGCGAGGAAAGCCCACCACATCCGCTGGCCGTTGTTATCACAGGGCACATCTGGTGAGAACGGGATAATCACATTCATCTTGGATATGTGGATGGATGGGTCCGGGTTGAATCTCTCCCTGTTTTTCGGCATTACCGACTTCTGGTCACCTGCCAGCCCCTAAAAACAAACAATCAACTCAACTGGGATTCAGGGCCTTTGGGGAGCTCCAGCAAGCGCCCCCTGATGCCACAACGGCTCAGGCATGTTCAGCCAACCACCTTCCGCTCCTCTTCATCTCATCTGGCTTCACTCTAAGCAAAGATGTAAAAGTTAAAGTCCACAAGAGCCACACTCGCAATTAAAAAAAAAAAAAAAAACAACCCCAAAAAACCCCCCAAACTTCTTTTGAAATTAAGATCTCAGTCGTGCGCCTCACGACGCGTGTTCGTTGCCGGGATTGCGCGTCATCCGTTAGACGTTTGCGTAAAAATCAAATTTCTTGTTCAAACTCCTCAAAACTCACGGTTTTCTCACAGATCCGATGGATGAAACTGCAGCGGCGTTATGATAACACTGAAGAGGCGTGCTGTCGTCGCCAGTCGATTCACTCACTCCCCCACCTTGTTTTTTTTACAGCGTAGCCTTCAGCAGGTCCGCTACTTGAGCTCAGCACCGCGCACTGTTGAATGCAGTCCTCGCGTCAAAGGCCGCAGTTTGTCGTTTCCTTTACGGATATATCGTTTGGGTTGGGAAAAAAAATGACCGTTTTATTCTTGTACGCAATTCTCGTTCTCCGACTCCCTCCGTCACATCCATTTGTTGGAAGATGGCATCGCAGATTTACAGGTAGCGGGGGAGGAGCCATCAATAGCAGACGTCGATGCTTATCTTGATGTCTGGTTATTTATAGTGACCGCTTCATCAATTTTTGATGGTTGTAACTTTATGGTTAGAGCCACCGTGCTTTTAAACCCTTAATTTTGTACGGACGTTTTAGTTTTGTACATTAGATCTATGTTCCTAAACTATAATCAAATTTCAAACTGTATTTCCATAATAAGGTGGGGCAAACTGACGAAAATGAAATTCTCTTATTGGTGTCCTGTATCTTTATATGGAGCTTTAACATCAATCTAAGGCTGTCTGGAGCCTTTAAACGAGAAAACGTTTTCTCCAGCAGTGATGGAAATACGGGTTTAAAAAACACATTGCAGCAGAGAATACACCATACATTTTCATTGTTTCCACGCCACCACGCATTAAAGGCTTAGAAAACCCAAAATGTAAAAAGTTTCCAAATATTGGAATAAGAGTATTTATATAGGCAGTTATAAAACATGGTAAGGAAAAGTACTAAACAGGACATCTTGTTTTCTCTCGTCTAGTGGTAAATTACTCCCCCTCGAGGACAAACTGTGCACTGATTGAGGTCCAACTTGAGTCCAGTTTTTCTTGATAAATAACCAGCCCGCTATTTGTGAGCTGATGTTAGCATTCAGATGTGCAAAGAAAACACAGACAACTTGCACTCCATTAATTGAATGTTTAATATTTTATAGAAACAATAACCTTCATTTGGAGAAAGCCTGATGTAAAGTGTTTTATCTGACATCCAGATGAAATGCTCTCAACGTGATTGACGTGAAAATTCAAGGAGGAACACGTACATGTGTTTAGCCAACAGATGAAAAAAAAAAATCCCTTCTTAAATTTAAAAACAAAAAAAATTAAAAAATAAAAATCCACCTGACAAAGAATATTGGCAGAAACTAAGCAAACCTGCTGCGTGATTTACAAGGAAAACTGCAGTGTTAATAAGTGTGATGTATTAAATATATTTAGCTTGGCACAATATTATATGAGAGCAGTGAAATGATCCAAATAAAGACTGACATAATGTGAAGGAAGCAATTTCTCCTCTATAAATAAGAACATTATTCACTAGAGAGCTACAGTTGTATAACAAAGGATCATAACCAACATCTTTGACTTGATTAGATAAATTAAATGGCAAGAGAAGACATAAATATCAAGGAGGGAACACAGTGGTCCATCTTCAGTTTGGAGTTGATGCAGAGTCCCTGTGGTCTGACAATTCAAGGGATTAAAGGAGTGCTACTGAATATGAGGGAATACACAATTCAAGTATTGAAGACTAGTGTAAACAAGTCTCTGTACTACATAATTACTGTAGTAGGAATATTGCAAATCATGTGTGCTGATATTGCTGTAACCATCGAGTCGGCTGTGAACTGCTGGATTTGAACATCTTCGCTACATCCTGGAATCTTTCTGGGTGACATGAACAAGGGGAGATACTTTTACAGGGCTCCATCTGGAATCCACAGTACTTTACTCTGTTCCTGCTCCACGATGGTCATGATCTGAGTGCAAATGTAGGAGACGCTGCCTCCCTGGACAATACCTGCAATACAGTTGGGAGGAGGGTGGTATTTTTGTGGTTAACACATCCCATTGAAAGTTCTTTCATTTTTTCCCCATTCAGTCACTCAGCTCCCAGACCAATGTGATTTTTTCTTGTTTTTGCATAATCCAAGCACTACTCATTTTCAATTATATCAAGCATGTAATGAGACTAATGTTGACACCAACCAACAGGACTGTGGAAATAAAAGACTTACAGTTGTAAACTGTGAAGACAAACTGGTATAAGCTGTCTATCAACAGATACTTTTAATGAAAGTGCTGATAAATATAATCACAAACGTGGCATGTGTGCAGAAGTTGGCCGGCCAACTCTCCCTAATAGATGGGATCAGTTGTGGTATGTGTTCATTGCAAAAGCCCTTGTGTACAAGTCGCCTCCTTTTCTAGTCATTAATCAGGCAGACAGTTGGGTGTCAGACTGTCTGCTGCTCCAGATACCAGAACTTTAACTCTTCTTAAAGAACACACATACAGTGCTCCCAATACCTCCTCTTTAAGACTAAACTCTAAATAACATGAAATAAATACAGTTAAAAACAAATCTCAGAGACTATCACCAAAAATTTTGGACATACAGCGATAAATGCCATTAAACAGTTTGTGTCTGATTATTGATGAACTGACTTTTAAGCCCAAGGTGAAAAAATGGTTACAAAAATACACCTTTCTTTGTAAACTGGGATTCAGTTTGCAGTTACACATTTCTGTGTACTGTAGGTGTGGTTAAGGTTACAATAATTAGAATTATAATGCCTGTATACAAATTAACATCGAGTGAACATAAGCCTATCCCACCAACCTGTGAAGAAGCGGCTGTAGTCCTGCTCTATTTTCTGCGCTGCCTCAAACTGCTCCCTGGAATGTTTCTGAGACAGTTTATCCCGCAGGTACAAAGGGTCCTTCTGCTCTCTGAGGAAACATCAGCCCTGTCAGCCTGCTACAAAACCTCATTTCAAACACTCAAAGTGTCAGATTCTTGATGTCAACAAAACAGTCACAATTTCCATATTTTGTATTACTAAAAATCTGCAGACATGTTTATAACAGTAATAATAGTGTGTGGATATTTTAATACATCTTGAACATTGCTAAATACAAATTTAGAGTGAATTTCTTTTATACAAAAATGTGAATACATTTATCCCAATTCAACTGCATATAAATTATTCATGTTTCTGGGCTGCTACTGCCAACATTAACTTAAATGAAAACCATTTTCCTGGAAATTCTACTGGCAGTAATAGACAAGAAAGTCTTTTTGGATAAATCAGCAAAGTTAACAAGGATCAACTACCCTTATTAGCATTTTATCGAAATAAAATAAAAAAATACTCAGATGTTGACTAAAGTAACTATAGATGCAATTTAAAGGAGATTTCTACTAGTTTTTACAGCAAAACTTCTCATTTCTGCCAAGAAATCTAACAGCTTAGCTTCAATGAAATCTCCCTACTTTAAACCCATCCATCCCACTCAGTACCCATGACCGCACAAAGCCTTGAGAATTCATGTGTTTACCAGTCTTCATCTTTTACCTCTGACTTAACCTAGAATACCACTGTCTCTCTCCTTTCACTCATTATGCAGTCAACATTTTGGTCTGCTGATGCTTCTCAGAGGATAGAAACCCATGAAAAACCTTGGGCTCCTGTCAGTTGCTGCAGCAGGCAGTGGGAGGTGTGTTTTTGTGTACATGGAAGCTGAGGCCGGCAGGGCATCGTGTGTTTTTAGCCACCCACACCACGAAGCGGAGCCACAGGCCTCGTGAGCCCCTCCCAGGACAGCTGGCACTCAGCTGATGACAGCGAAGGCTTAGCAGGAATCAATCTGAACCATGTTTGCCTGCTGCACCGTTTCATAGATTTATGGACGCGTGTGTGTACGTGCGTGGTGGAAAAAGCCTGTTCCTGCCCGACCCGAGTTTGCCCTGATTTGCATGCGTTTGTGTGCGCATGTGCATGAAGCACCATGCCGAAGGTTCAGCAGATTTAATCTTCCCACGGATTACAAATGAAAAAGCAGAGGATCTGTGAGCCATCACCATCAGTCGATGAAAACAGGTGGTGGAAGAGAGCACGTCGTGTCTTCGCAACTAATGATGCTGATCAAATTTTGGTTGATCAATTCGTTTTGTTATTGATGGAGGGCAAATGTGATTATAAAACCAGCAAGACTTCTGCGGATGCCAATTTCCCAAGCAACTGTCTCAAGCCAGATAAAATTAAGCATAATCAGGAATAATCAGTCCTTCAAGCGAGAATGGCTTTAAAATGGGGGAACTTTAAGTAATCTTTAAATAATTCTTTATGACCTGACATTTTTAGATTACATATTGATTTAATGCCCAAGTAGTTATTTGCAAAATAGAAACAGATTATTGGTTTAGTTCAGAATATACGGATGAGTTTTGTTCATGAATGTGGCTTTATTTGAAAATGCTATGGCCCACATTTTCCCCTTTCTTCTCAGAAACAGCCTCTAGAGGCAAAAGCTCTGGCAAGAGTTGCCTCTGTATGTTGCCTCCAGAGGCAACATACAGAGTTCTCTCTGTATGTTGTTCAAGGTTTGGAGCTTGACAAATAACTGGGTAAACCACAACACAAAGCATGCTCAACGTGTCTGACAGGTAGAAATAAAAAAAAAAAAACAATTTTAAAAGTCAAAGCAGGCATGAAATTACTCACTTTATCTGCTTGGCATTTTTGTAGCGGATGAATATGATGATTGGGTAGATGTGAACCATGTGAAGACGTTCAATGGCGTGAGGGGCAATGTCAAGTAAGCAGTGACAGTCCTATGAGAGAAGACAACATGAGAAATGGGAGATTTTTCAAAAAGAAGAAAAAAAAAAAAAAACACCACTGCAGAAAATATTTATTTTCACGCTCTGTGTGTTTAAAGACTTCTAGCAGTTTATGGGATATCAACAACATCATAAATGTCAACATAAAAAAAAATAAAGGTTCTTTGAAAATATGTAGCCAATCAAGTTATTTTAATCAGTTTGGAAGTTTGGCTGTATTGCATTATTTGGAATGCAGCTGAAATTCCTCTGAAGATTGTAAGAAAAGTTGGAAAGACAGCAGTGCATAAACTTCAAGATACAACTGCTATTGGTGCAGGGTCATAAATGTGTCATTTCTGGACAAGCAAATCAATAATAATGCAGATTAAGGTCATTTTAAATTTACCTTTTCTGTGATTTCTTTTATTGAGGCGACTGTTGTCACGTCAAAATGCCCACTCCTCCGTTTGTAATCAATGAACACACAATCCTTTACTCCACGCTCTATTGCCTGCTGAGATGCCTTCATAATTTCTAAAAGTAAAGAAAAAAAAAAACAGCAACATTTTTTATTTTAATATACACGTCAAGTTCTCTGATCTTTGAGTTTCATGTTAGGTAGCTCTCAGTGAAATCGCCCTTGCGCAATAACACAAGTTTGATGGACACACACATCCTTCATGTATAAATTCACACAAATCAGAAGCTCACCAGGCAAACAGCGACAGAACTTGGTAGGAGCCTCCTTCTCCAACATGTCCTTACAGGCCTCCACTAATGGACCCAAGATCAGCACTGGACGAGGCGAAGAGTACTCCACCTTCTGAACCCGCTGGTACATGAGGCTCACGCCGTCTGTGCAGGGAATAAACCAAAGCAATTTATTCCAAAGGCATAACAGGAGAGAGACACTGCCGCTCATTTTAACCGTGGTTTCTGTGTTATGTGAAAGCTTCAGTTTCTTTCAAGAAAAATCCAGCTATATAAACACATCTTCATGCCTGAGATCTGCCTCACAAATCATCACGTAAGGTTAATAGGGACATTCAAAGTAGCAGCTTCTATCTAGTATCAAGCCTAAAGAATAAAATCTGAACTTTTCAAACTTGAGAGCATTATTAAGTCTTAGAGATTAGGCTTAATTGGGAAAAGGCTTTCATTAAAAAAAAATAAATGTATGAACTTTTCTTTAAACACTTAAAAGGCAACTATTTTAAACACCAAAGACTAAAATTTATTTGGTAAAACTGTGGTGTCTGTGATGAAATGTAATTATGTTTGTTGCACCTCCAGATGCAGCTGTGTGAAGTCTGATAAATTGACTGAAGTCAAGACTATATCCAGTAAATTAAATCTTGGATGCTTAGAAAGTGAGCAAGCCTCTGCAGCGTGCTCCACATTCAAACCTCTGACAAATCTGCCTGTGGTTGAACAGATTTGTGGGTAATTTTAGGTCCAACTCTTGTGAAGGAATGTGTGAAATACAATAATCAGATTCTGCTGTATTCACTGTGAACTTTTTGATTTCAAACAGTCCTTTGTAAGTTTAACAATGTGACGACAGTATAATGCAATGCTGGTGAAGTAAGCGCTCAAGAAAATCCAAATATGTGCTTATTCCAGAATCAACCTTTCTTATACAATTATGTCTTTTTTTGTGCATTTTTAAAATAAAGTTGTGTTTAGAAGAGGGTTTCTCACCCTCTGTGATGGGTAAAGAATCTGTGCTAATGGCGTCCAAAGCCGTCATGTCCTTTCCATCCTTGGATCCACTCCGTTTGTGCTTTAGCCTCCGGCGAAAGAATGACCTCCGAGCAGCAGCAGACAGCGTCCTGCTAGTGCCGTTTTCATCCTTCATATCAGCCATGCTGTGCCTTCTGTAGAATTCCTGGTCCATCCTTATGGAGATAATATTTCAATCCATATCAACATGCTATCAAACTAATGTTCTTTAACATTAAAGTTTGATGAATGTAGAATTTCTCAACAGATTTTCTAAATCAGAAAACCACAAATTCTTACACTGTACTTACATGTATTTACTTGGAATCTGTCCTTTCTCTAGTTTCTGTGCACTCTCATCAAGCTGCCAGGCCATCCAGAAGCCAAAATTACCATTTGGTAGTGTGTCTTCAACATAAAGGATGTCATCTTTCTTAAAGCTTAGCTCCTGCTCCATTTCTGCCACTCTCTCATAAAGTGCTCTGCCAAATATGAATAAAGTAGTTGGGGAAGATGTCAATGGCATGATAAACAAAACTTTGCAGACTATAATGGAAAAACAAGTCTTACAAGCTATACTCTACAAGCTTCAACGAGTTATTGACCTGACACACAAATCACCAAAACATGTCTGTTCTGTTAGCTCAATGTTCCCAAACTTTACTGCCCATTTCCCGGTGGTTAGGTTCCATTTTGGATTTTGTTTAACATAAAATTAAAAAGGCACAATATTCATGTCATCTCAGCAGTTTAATTTCAGTGGCCTGATAAATATTCAGGGTACCTTATGAAAAATCCATCTCTGGGACTCTCTCTTACTGCATCAAGGTTGTCTGCATAGTTCTGGACCTTGAAGGTGATCGTTTCAGCTGGTTTCAACAATTCCAGGTAAGCATCTTCTTTAGTTTTGTTCTTCATGCTGACACCATTGTACTGTTTAAAAAACAAACAAATAAATTAAAACTATAAAGACAATCATCTATAAGACAGAAAGCAGTCAGATTCTATGTCTAAACCTGCTTTAATGTGCTTTTCTTCTAGCCTCAGAGCATTATAATACAGGTACACAAATCACACAATTATGTCCAGTATTGTTTTCACTACAGCTACTGCAACTTACTTTTTATTGAACACATGACAACTTTGGTGCATCACAAATATTGACAAATATGAAAGATACCTCCAGCATCAAATCTCCAGGCAGTAAACCATCAGGACCCCTAGCAGGGCTGTCATCATCTAAACTCTCCACAAAGATGCCATAAAGGTTCCCTCCACAGATCTGAACTCCCAGCTCCACGTGGATCCTCTTCAGCCTCACCAACCGATACTCTGGAACCCTGCGTGGATTTGAACCAGGAAGCCTGAAAGAAAAATACATTTTAAGAAGTTCGACCAGTAGATTCAAAGTCTATTTTAAAGGGCTGTATTAAAACACCATATCAACCCAGCGAACATAAAAGCAGATATAAAGCTACTACCTGGAGGAGATGTGTGGACTAGTGGCAGGAGTCGTTTGTTTGGATGCAGGAGTAATCGTGCCTTCATCCTGCTCACTCAGTAAATCTACAGTGGAGTGATTCTCCGGTGTGGTGGCTCCGCTGTCATGGGGTGACGGCTGGTTGCTGATGGATTCCATCCGAGAACTAAAAAGATGAGAAACAAAGTCAGAATCTTTTCTAATCATTTAATATTTTACCCTAAAGTCCAAATAACTGTTTTTTAGAGAATACACTTTAGGGTTTGTTTACTGTAATAGCACATGCGTGCCATCTCCTTTTTAGTGTTAATATTTGTTAATCATAATTACATAACCCATTTCTTATTCCTGTGCTACAGTATGAAGTCTTTACAATTGTGTACTCATGCGTTTGCTTTGCACATACTGTACTTTATACAGAAAAGGGCACTGCTAAGCTCTCGTCTCCCTCTTACCCTGAATGAGAGTGATTCCCCAGCTGAAACATGTGTGGATTATACTGAGCCAAAATGGTGACCGTGTCACATTGCTGCCCAATCACCAGCCGTGCCTGCTGCTCATTGGCATTGCGAAGGTTGATTCCATTAAACTGGAAACAGAAGGGATTCATTAGAGGCAGAAAAAAAAAAAAAAGATAAATCATGGATATGCAGTAAAGTAGCTAATGTACCTCAAGAAGTTGATCTCCGTACTCTAATCGAGCTTGATGAGCAATGCTACCTGCTGTCACTTTGGACACAAACACTCCGCCATTCTCTCCACTCACAATGGAGATACCAAGCGGTTCTGCTCCCTTCTGTACCGTCACATTTCGTGGCTCCCCCAGGTATGGCCTTCAGGGGGAAAAAGAACATTTGTGTTTTGACATCTTATAGAAAAGTTGCAAGCATGCAACTTTGGGGAAGAAAAAAAAAAAAAAAAAAAAAATTAGAATAAGCTCTTCCCTTCAATCTAATGTTTTCCTACACAATATGAGTCTGCATGCTATCATGCATGTCATGTATGCAAATAATCACCAAATCATGTGACATTTTTCACACAAATGTGTATTGTTCAAACAATAATATGCACGTACCAGCCACAACATTAAAAACCCCTTGCAGGTAAAGTAAATAACAGTAATCACGATCCTGGTATGTGGCTCATACCACCCACAAAAACAGCAGCACCATATGAAGGCAATGACAGTCCCCAACTGGACAATGTCAGGGCCTCCAACCTCTCAAAATCCCAATCTGATCAAGCATCTGATGCTTGAGCCTGTAGCCTCATGTCTGACAATACCAGACACGCTCAAAGGTCCAAGCTGTTTTTGTAGCACACTGTACCAAGAACAAGGTTTTAATGTTGTGGCTGATGTGCCAAGCGTGCATTTTCAAATCCCACTTCATGTCATGCAATCATACAACATTTAACAGCATTCTGAATAAATAATGAGCAGAGAAGATGACGACCTAAGGATACACATCCATTTCATTACTGCCATTATTAAACATTCAAAAGAATCTAGCACCGCTGCTGCAAAGTGAGTCTAGACTGTAACATTTATATATGCAGAGTGTAGGCAGAATGATAAGATCTGTGCTCCAACAGTCCTGCAGACAGTGCTTATACTGTATGTGCTACCAGCACAAGACAAACCTCAAGCTTCTTAAAGAGAAGAACTTGGGCTTAATTCCAAGTGGAGGTCTAACAGAGGAAGTGCAGTAAGAGACAAATCTGAGAAGCAGAATGACAGGGAAAAAATAAAAACAGACAAAGACAGAAAGATTTCAAGTTACAAGGCTCAGCAGCAGAGAAGAAAGTCAAGATAATCAAATGATAGATTGTGGTGACAGTGTTGGATGGAGGCTTGAGGCTTTGTTTACTGCTTTGCAAGCATTTAATCACAATGAACCAGACAAAAAGTACAGACAAATGGTGGAAAACATGTCTTGTGGTGCTGAATTATGGTGGGATAAAGATTCGGACAATGACGAGGATTCGGTTGGCCTACCCATCCTTTCGCCTGTCACCAATTGAAGCAGGGCTGACTGATATCCTAGGTTGGGTGGAAATGGAGCTCTGCGATTGGCTGCTAGTGAAAGACGACGTGTCCAGGTTGACAGGGGACATTGGAGGTGTTGGGCTGCTACCCTCCGAATGTGTAAGCGAGCCTGGAGTGACAGAGGATATTAAAAAATTGAAGTAACATTTGGTACCAGTAGATGTTGCTCCCAGTCTGAACAGTACCTTTGTCAGATCCAGTGGCGCGAGGATAACGAATTGGAGGGATCTTAATCCGTTCTGCTCTAAATTGAGTACCAGAGGTGCCTAAGAGAAAAAAACAAAACAAAAAAAAAAAAAAAAAAAAAAAAAAAAAAAAAAAAAACACAGGAAATTTATTAAAAGGGTCAGTTGACCCATAATGGAAAAAAAAGAAAACAAGAAACATTTTCTCACACAACTGAGGGTATCCAACCATGTTGATATGGGAATTCCCCAGGAAATATATGAACAACTGTGATAAGCCCTTTTCCCCGACACTGCTAATCTAAATATTTACCACAGAGCAAATGTTTGAAGTAGCCAGTTAATCACCATCGTCTCCTGAGCCAATTAAACTGCTACAAGACTTTCTAACTCATTACAGGAGAGTTGCATTTAAAACTGACATTTCATAAATATGAGTTTAAGAGTAAAATTAAAGTTAAATGATTTTGTGTCACAGAAGTCCGTGTTTGCCAACAATGCAACTCGACGCCAGTTAGGTGTTTTGCTAGCAGTGATAAATAGTGGGCTAAATAAGTGCGGACTGAATTAAGAAAAATGTAAACAACATTATTCACATTTTAAACATGTCGTGATTACCATAAAACTAGGGCACCATACATACTCATTCTGTTGCTGCAGGGCAAGGAGTTAGTACTGTGTGGTGGTTGGCTGCAGCTCCGCTCAGTCGGGTTTCCAGTGCGCTTGTGGCTGAGGTCCAGACTGAGGCGACCTTGATGCTGGGGGCTAAGAGTAGAGGGGGGGGGGGGGGGGGGGGAAAAAAAAAAGGCCTGCGTAAGTCCCCCGGCAGTCAATTATTCAACCCAGGGCAAGATATAATTTGCTACATGCCATCTGTCCATGAGATCTGGGGCAGGATACACAGTTGTTTCGCTGCTATAAATACACCATTCAGGATTTAGCAAATCTGTGGTTAAAATGAAAAACAATACTACTAGAACTAATGTCTACTTTGCAGTAAGCATCAAAATAAACTGTTAAATCAATCTATCTATATAAAAAACAACATCTGAAATTGTCTTTTATTTCTAACTAATGCACCAAAAACCAGAAGTATGCAGAATACAATCACAGCAAAAAAAGAATACAGAATAATTATTAATTAATCTCTCTCTCTGCTTCAAAAGAGACAGTCTCACAGTTGAGATAAAATATCAGTTTTCTAACAGATATAGATATTTCAAGATGTCATAACAAGGAAAAAAGTAAACTTAAAAAGCATTTGGAGAACACTTTTCTCCAACGAGGCCGATGACCTAGCTCAGAATTTCTTAACGACGTGACCTGGTTCTGTCCCAAAATCTGGTGGCTTTCTTTGTCCCTGCTCCACATTTCCACCAAGTTGTATTTGACTAGTTGCTGCATTATCTGTCTAACAGACAAAAACAGCACTGAAGATACTCTACCTGTCGAATAATTCAATTAATCATGGGTGAACTCTATTAAGTCAATTCAAAGACCTGGAATTGAGAGTTCTGTTTCACCGACAAATTGTAGTGGTTTAGTCGACTCAGCTACCTTCTTCCTATTAAATGTCTGCAGTGAATGAGGTGTGATTGAAACAGAAAATTTTACTTGACACTAAATGCAAAATAAGTATACTCATTAATTCATATATTCACATGGCAAAATGACAAGATTTATTTTTAGGATTCACAACAGTAAAAAGGCTCGTGAAGAAGAGTTGGACTCGTGCATGTCGAAAAGACTGACAGAACACCTTGTGTGTGTATGAGGATGACTGCTCGAGCTGGGAGCTGGAGGAGGGTTGTTGGCCTGGACCTCATGGCTCCAGGCTGTGTAGACAGGGTTCCTCATGACAGCCGTCACAGCAGGGCAAGGGGCAAAACTTCGTTGTGCAGGGTCTGGAGGACAAATAGTGGGATTAGACATCAACAAGTAGTAGTTATGTGACACTTCCATCCTATAAATATCAAGCCTTTATTAGTTCAATAGAAAAAACCCCAACAAATCGAAATCAACTTTCTATTTTTATTATTAGTGATCCATGCAGTGTTTGGAAATGTGAAAAAAAAGGAAAAAAAGTGAACACATTAAGCTGTTCCCATAACTTACGTGATGCAATGCTACTGTAGCTTTTGGGTGCATATTGTACGCTGTACCGATTGGTTCGTATAGGAGAGAAACGTAACAAGTCCACTGGCTCTGGGGAGTGTTCATCGTTAGAGAAACTCTGTACCTGCAAGGAGCAAACGTACAGCTTGTAAGCCTTTTAATTTCTGAGGAAATAAGGGACACAAAATAACACAAACCATAGCATCTATAAGATGTCAAATAGTAAATTCCTCAACATGTTCTTTAAATACTCAGTTACCTGAATGGGAACAGGAATGTGCAATGGAGTCACATTTCGACGTAGTGCTGGTGCTGATTTTGGCCGGTATCTCTTTTTTCCTTGCACTTCAGTCCTGTACCGGTTCTCCTCCTCTTCTTCCTCCTCAGCAGGTTTCTTGGAGCTGCCCTTGGCCTCTCCTGGAGGGCCATCATTGAAATAGCATTGGTTTCCCACCTCTCCCTTGTCCTTAGGATTCGTAGCTTGGGCAGGGGATGCTGGTGGTGTGCCGGTGGTAATGGTGGAGTCCGACGCGGAGCTGTTCTGCTGCCGATGCTTGAACCTAAACGAGTCGCTCCTTGCTGGTGGGGTGGGGGGTGTCTGAGCAGATTCAGACACTGAGCTCTGCGGTGAGTGAGACAGGGACATGTAGTCCAGTTTTTGGGCTGCATCAGGTCTCCTGAAAGCATTCATGTCAAAAATAGACTTCCTCTGTTTGGGCTTCTTATAGATGGACAGTTGGGTGTACTCTGAAACAGTTCCCACTATGACTTTAGGCCATGTGCCTCCACTGGGCTTGACTGGCGAGCTCTGCACTCGGTCCACAGCAGCCTGTGGTGAGCTGCAGTCGGACAGAAGAGGGGTGAAGGTAAAAGGCCGATGCTGGAGGTCCTGCCTCCGGTAGCAGAACTCTGGGTGGGGTTCCGAAGGACTATGTGAGGCAGAAAAGGAACGGGAATGCGGGGAACCATTGGAAAAGGGTTTGTGGTGAGAGTGAGTGCTGCCACTGCTGCTATTCAGGGAGTCACCGGTATCCTTGCAGGCTTCCTCCCCTCTGCTGCCAAAGTCACAGCTACAAATGTCAGTTTGTGTGGAACAATTGTGCTTAGAGTTTCTGCAGTTTCTCGTGTGGCCCTCACAGGACTGGAGTCGCGGGTTCTTTTCAGAGTCTCTCAAAGTTTCATATAAACTCTGCCCAGAACAGCTTTGGGGAAAGAACTGTGCAGGAAGAAATGTTGATAAATATACATTAAAATAGTTTAAATGCAATAAATGGCTTCCGATGAAATGGACGATCGCTGACATTTTTAACCAAGAACTTGAGATAGCATTTAAAAATTAAAGATACTGGTAGCAATTAAGGTTTAAGAAGACTTTGCATTGTCTATTAACCCAATGAGCATTTGCACGAAGTAAGCATTGTACAACTAGCATAAAGCCTGACTATTAGAAGGAGTCTATTAGAAGAAACAGCAGTATGTGATGTTACAGTTGTGAGAATCTGTATGTGTTTGGGTTACGGAGTTCTTACCTTCATGAGGGAGAGGCTGAGAGAATTTCGGCAGTTTCTCAGCAGAGACTCACATTCAGAGAGCGACTTGTTATCGAGCGCAATTCCATTGATCTGAGGG